AAGGAAGGAAGGAAGGAAGGAAGGAAGGAAGGAAGGAAGGAAGGAAGGAAGGAGGGTGGAAGGGGAGGGGAGGAAGGAGAAAGAATGGAAGGGGAAGGAAGGAAGGAAGGAAAGAAGGAAGGAGAAAGAGTGGAAGGGGAAGGAAGGAAGGAGAAAGGGTGGAAGGATTTAATACTGCCTTTTGGTTAGGGTGCAAATCAGAAATTGAAATGCTTTCAGATTGAAGGCAGTTGTTTTTTTTTTCCAGGAAAATGTCAAAGGCTTGCATGAATGTCTGAAATACTCTGTATAGGATGGGGTGGGATGGAAAGGGAGGGAGGGAGGGAAGGAAGGAGAAAGAGAAGCAAAAGAGAAAGGGGGAAGGAAGGAAGGAACAAAGGAAGGAAGGGAGGGAGAGAAAGAGAAAAAGGAAGGGAAGAGAGGAGAAAGGAAGGAGTGCTATATTGTAGAGTAAACTGCCCATCAAAATTTTGAAGGGCAGTTTTGGAGGCCTTCAAGAACCACAAACGCACAACAAAGAAAACCAAGGTGCTGCCAAAGGCTGGGCAAAAATGCCTATGGGGGACTAGTCACTTTCAAGACCCCACAAAGCTGGTTTAACACAGCCCTCCCCTAGATCTTAAGCAACGCAAACTTCATGCACACCCAGACTCCCATTTTTACACCAACCAAGACACACACACACACACACACACACAGACTTCAGCCTTCACTTATATATATATACCTACCTAGGGCTGGAAAACTGCTCTGGCTGTTTTCGGTTACAGCAAGAATAAGCCAGGATTCTGAACATGTCGGTGAAGGCGCTGCCATCCGGTGGCTTGGTGATGAAGACACTCTGGCCACACAGGAGGACCACGAAGGAGACGACAATGCAAACCGCGGGGATGATGTAGCCGATGGCGAAGCTGACGTTCTGCTGGATGTACGCAATGCCCCCCAGAGAGAGGATGGCTCCCAAATTGATGCTCCAGTAAAACCAGTTAAAGAAACGCCGGGTGGCTTCCGGACCTCGATCCTTCACCTAAAGGAGACATTTTTTTTCCCCCCAGGGAGAAGAAATCTACATGAGGAAAGTTCTAGGTGCTTGCTAAGAAAGGATTTTTCAAAATCACCATTGGAACATTAATATTTCCTATATTATTATTATTATTATTAACACACTCTGATGCTAACAAGTTCTACTCCCCGCTCCCCACCTGAAAAGAAATCTCTTCCATATGCAGTTCAGCTAAGCCACGGCCAGGCTCCTTGCTGTCTCCTCCTTGCTCACACAGCAAATACTGTTTCAGTTTCCAAACAGCCCTCCACTCTCTCACACACTGACAGGACGCTAGCCAGATGAATACCAATGGATTGCTGGTAGGCAGAGGCAGAATTTTTTTCCTCCTTATTTTCCTCCCCCAAAACTTGCCCGATCACATAGTTTCATACCGAAGCATGGGTACCCTGCTAGTGTGTGTGTGTGTGTATATATATGGGGTGTGTGTGTGTCTATCTATCTATCTATCTATCTATCTATCTATCTATCTATATCTATAAATTGTCTCTCTCTCTCGAATAATCATTTCAATCACAGGGGGAATCCCACGTGCAGCAGGAACATTTTACAGGCATAATGTTTATAATACCATACAAAGGAGACCAGAGATATTTCAGGAAGCAAACTTTGAAAGAGCAGGTGCAAATCTTTTGCCTCTATAAAAAGCAACTGAGAAATGCAAAATAGACTTCCATTTTTAGTCCGTGTGGAGAGCAGAGTTTCTCAACCTTGGACCTTTCAGGATGAACGGATTTCAGCTCCCAGAATTCCCCCAGCCAACCATGGAAAAGAGTGAGAAAGAAACTCAAGAAAAACCCCACTTTGATTCTATTGGGTATAAGAGGCGGTGGAAGAAAGTTCTGGCAGATTTTCAAGATTTTGTTCTTCTATCCTATAAGAATGAAGTAGCATTCTTGTAAATCCAGTGTTTTCAACCTTGGTGGCATAAAGACATGTGGGTATCAACGCCCAGAATTCTCCAGTCAGCTTTTCTGAGCTGGGGAATTCTGGGAGCTGAAGTCCATATATCTTAATGCTGCCAACTTTGAGAAACTTATCTAGAGTTACACAGCCCTCTCTAATCCACTCAATGTAACTAGTCCTCGAATCATAACCACAACTGAGCCCAGCATTTCCGTTGCTACGTAAGACACGAATTTTGCCCCATTTTATGACCATCCTTGGCAGTTGTTCAGTGAATCATTGGAGTTTTTAAGTTAGTAACACAGTTGCTTGTCAGAAAGTCAAAAAGATCAGATGACCCAAGATATTGAAAACGTCATAAATAAAAACCAGTTACCAAATATCTGAATTTTGATCTTGTGACCACGGGAATGCTGCAACCGTTGTTAAGTGTGAAAAATGGCCATTAAAGTCACTTTTTTCAGTGCCGTCTTAACTTCCAATGGTCATGCCTGTACAGCTTTACTAACACATCCTCCCCTGCAGCCGGTAACTAGATAAGCAGGGATTGACACCAGACAAACAAGCAAGCAGGAAGAACTATCTTAATCAAAGAATCACCAAGGAGAAAAACCACATCCTAATTGGTGGATCTCCTAATCCACCTAATTGGTGGATCTCCATGGTTGGCTGAGGAATTCAGGGAGTTGAAGTCCACATATCTTTTTTTTTTTTAAATTAGAAAAACTTTATTAAACATTAAAAAGATAAATACAAAATACAAATCGTTAAAAAACGAAACAAAAACAAAGAACGTATAAATTACAAATTAGTTAGGACGGTGCTTTCTTATCAAACAATATTCTAATACTTATTTCATATATCTGGTTATTACTTCTACTATAACCTCTTTATATTCTTCCTTATTTATTGACTCACTGGTTTCTATTATTTATCCAATTATACCAGTTTTCCCAGACTGTCTTCCTTTTCTTTTAATTTTAGGGTTAAGTTTGTCCATTTCAGTGCAATCGTAAACCTTTTGGATTATTTTCTACTGGCATCCGATCATCCTTCCAAACACTGCAAGTGCTATCCTCGCCGCAGAAATTATATGTAAAATTAAGTATTTTATTTCTTTTGCATATTCACCTTTTATTATTCCCAATAAAAAGATTTCTGCCTTAAGTTCTAATTGAATGCTTGTAATTTCTCTTATGTTCGTATTTTTGTCCAATATTTCTTACTCTTTGGGCAAAGCCACCAAGCGTGGAAGAAGGTACCCCTTGTTTTCATTTCCAGTAAAGTGGGCTTAAATTTGGATACATATTGGCTAATCACAAAGGGGTCAGATACCACAGATAACACATTTTGTATTGATTCTCTTTATATACTGTTGGTTTCATTATTATTATTATTTTCCAAATTCTTTCCCAGTCTTCCAAATTAATATTATGCCCTACATTTCTTGCTCTTGGTATCATTACCCTAAACAAAGAATCACCAAGGAGAAAAATCACATCCTAATTGGTGGAACTCCGTGGCTGGCTGAGGAATTCTGGGAGTTGAAGTCCACGTATCTTAAAGCAGCCAAAGTTGAGAAACGTTGAGAACAGAGAATAATAAGTCGCTGTTTTTGGGGGGACTGACTTCCCAGCAGCTGTTATAGGGATATATCTATCCACACAGGACACACCCTTGGCCCTCAAACCCCATTTTTCATGACTCATTGGGGCTGCTGTTCTATGACACAGCTGCGGATGAAAAGCCACTACTGTTTCTCTCTCTCAAAAAAAGGGAAGAAAATAAAAAATTCAGAACATTCCTCCTGTGCCAGCTGAATCATCCAGAGACTTGTTTTGCTGTGTTTTTGGTTCAATGATGCCATCCCGGCTTGCATGAAGCCAACCTCCTTAACTAACAGGGCTTGTTCGTGGCCTCATTAAAAGATCCAGTTTCTGGTCTCGGGAATCTATGCCAACACAGCTGGATGAGGACCAAACAGGGCTGCTGCCCTCATTCCTAGCCCTCTTTCTTCTGGTTTGCTTAAAACCACTCAAAGGAAAGAAAGTCCCCTGGAATTTGGATTCTTTTCTTTTCATAGTGTCCCAGGTTTTAAAATCAGGGAAATAAATAAGATTAAAAGGTAAAGGTTCCCCTTGCACATAATACATGCTAGTCGTTTCCGGCTCTAGGGGGAGGTGCTCATCTCCATTACAAAGCCAAAGAGCCAGCGCTGTCCGAAGACGTCTCCATGGTCATGTGGCCGGCAGGACTAAATGCTGAAGGCGCACAGAACGCTGTTACCTTCCCACCAACGTGGTCCCTATTTTTCTACTTGCATTTTTACGCGCTTTCGAACTGCTAGGTTGGCAGAAGCTGGGACAAGTAATAAGAGCTCAGTCAGTTATACGGCGTGAGGGATTTGAACCACCGACCTTTCTGATCAACAAGCTCAGCGTCTTAGCCACTTGAGCCACCATTTCCCTCAGTAAATAAGATTAGGGGTGTGTAATTTTGGAGGACCATAAACCAGGCACTTAGATTATGCATTTACTTAGGTTACTTAGAATAACAAGGTTGGAAGAGACCTTAAAGGCCTTCTAATCCAGTCACTTGCTTGAGAAGACCATTTTATACCCCAGTGGACAAATGTTCAATGTTTGCAGTGTGTTGGGAGTCACATGGTATCCATTTATGACCTTCCCAGCCAACAAGCAAAGTCAAAAAAAGGGAAGGTTGTAGTCGCATGTCCCACTTAATGACTGCGGCAAAAAAGTGGTAAAATGGAGTGTGGTCACGTGATGCCTCCCTTAATGACCACATCATTTAATTGCAACCGCCCTTAGACTTATGCACCGCTTCACACCTCTAAGTGGTTTGCAGAATCAGCCTCTTGCGCCCAACAATCTGGGTCCTCATTTTACCCACTTTGGAAGGATGGAAGGCTGAGTCAACCTTCAACTTGGTGAGACTCGAACTGCTGGCAGTGGGCAGAATCAGCCTGCAATGCTGCATACTAACCCCTGAACCACCATGGATGGATGGATGGATGGATGGATGGATGGATGGATGGATGGATGGAAGGAGGAAGGAAGGAAGGAAGGAAGGAAGGAAGGAAGGAAGGAAGGAAGGAAGGAAGGAAGGAAGGAAGGAAGGAAGAGAGAGAAAAAGCAATAGTACTACGACTTATATACCGTTTCACAATGCTTTACAACCCTCTTTAGGCAGTTTACAGAGTCAGCCTGTTGCCCCCAACAATCTGGGTCCCCATTTTAGCCACCTCGGAAGGATGGAAGGCTGAGTTAACCTTGAGAATCGAACTCCTGGCAGTTGGCAGAGTCAGCCTGCAATGATGCATTCTAACCTCTGTACACCATGGATGGACGGATGGAAGGAAGGTTTACAGTGTCAGCATATATCACCCCCAACAATCTGGGTCCTCATTTTACCGACCTCAGAAGGAAGGATGGAAAGTTGAGTCAAGCTTGAGCCGGTGAGAATTGAACTGCCAAACTGCTGGCAGCTGGCAATCAGCAGAAGTAGCCTGTGGTACTGCATTCTAACCACTGCACCATCACAGCTCTTAATGATGATTTTTCTGGTTCCTACTGTGGACATAAATCGAGGACTACTTATTGCAGGGGGCCAAGACTGGAGGACAGACTCCGTGCTTTGAGTTCCTGGAGAAATATGTAGTAAGCAAAATATACAACGATTCCTTTGACCACAATGAGTTAAGAATCGCTCGTCCCCCTGGTGAGATGTGGAAGGATTTTGGGCTTCTCAACCTTTGCCATTTTTAGGTTTCAGGTGGGTTTCATTTCCTTGCAGTGATGACAGCTGAATTCAGAACTATGAGAAGTCATGGTTGGGGTTTTAAAAAAAAAAATCACCATGTGTCAAAGAGAGGAACAGGAAACAAACCAATTTAAAAGAGGAACTTGAAAACAGCTGGGAGAGCAATGAGAAAAAGTCCTCCTTTACAGCACTTTGGGATGAAATCACTGCATTGCTCAAGTCTGTCTATTTGGAACAAGGTGTAACTGTGTTTTGCGGGTATAATTAAAACAACATAGGTAAAATGAAAAAAAACATAACATTCATTTCTGAGAGAAGAACAATGAAGGTGCGTCTTGACAAACTTTGGTTGACAGCAGGCATGTCCAATCTTGGCAGCTTTAAGCCTTGTGGACTTAAACTCCCAGAATTCCCCAGCCAGCATGCTTTAAGAGGGGTGGACTTCAACTCCCAGAATTCCTCAGCCAGCATACTTTAAGATGGGTGGACTTCAACTCCCAGAATTCCCAGCCAGCATGTTTTTAAGATGGGTGGACTTCAACTCCCACAGTTCCCCAACCAGCATGCTAGTTAGAGAATTTTAGGAATTGAAGTCCATGGATCTTAAAGTTTCCAAGGTTGGACATCCCTGGTTTACATCTTAGTTCAACAGAGGAAGTTGATTGATAGGAAACAGAAATTTGACTTCATCTGTGATTGACTGAATGCCATGAAGTTGGTGTTGACTCTCTACATAAATTTTCTCCGGAATGATGCCTTCAAGAATATCTTCCAATCATCACTGTAACTTGAGTCCATCTATCTCATCTTCTTCCTTTCCTTCCATCTTTTCTAGCATCTGAACCTTCTCCAGAGGTCTTCACATAAAGTAGGACAATTTGAGCTTGATCATTCATGCCTTGAGTGAGAACTCTGGATTTATCTGTTTGACGACTTGATGAATCTTGACTTGGTTGCAATCTTCTCCAACTCTGAAGTTCAAATGTGTCAATCCTCTTTTTGATGCTGTTTCCTCAAAGTCCAAGTTTCATTTCCGCAGAGACAGATCTTCCAGATGTTGTCGAATTACAAATCCAGAATTCCTTGCTATCAGCCAGCTGACGGGGAGAGTCATATCAACAACATCTGGAGGACCAACCCCACAATAGGCAAGTTGTTGTGTGCATTTTCTGGAACAAACTTTCCTCTTTTGGTATCACGTGTCTGACTGGTCACAAGGCCACAATTGTGTGCATTTCAGGTCAGGGCGATTAGCACAGAGAAAGAATTATATAGAAATACAGTGTGGTAAGCAAAAGAGAGATATTAGCATACTGGGAAGTTTAAGAGGCCAATTTCTTTGTCTCAACAGAACACAAATGTTTGGTTTTTTTTGTATACTCAACCGGCTGCCTCTGGGGAACAGTTTGGCACACATTTTTCAGGAAGTCAGTCTCTTACTTTTACCAATCTGGTACAGGCCAAATGACTGTGACTACAACTCCCATGATCCTAAAATAGCACCACAGCTATTTTAGCCACCTAGAAAGTTATACAGCTTAAACAAGCCAAATGTAATGATGTAAACATATCTCAAAGACTGCAGAAGTGGGGAAGAAGGATGAGCTTGCAAGAAACAGAAACTAGTCTCTCAAAAAAAGCTGAGCAAGCACATTCAGGGCATGTGAAAACTTCCACTCTTAATGGGGACAATTTGGTCTAAAGAGCAGCTTAAGATTCCAATTTTAAATCTGGCCTACTCAGAAATATTTCTTAACCCTCCATTGTCTAACCAACCCAAACAGTATCTGTTAAAGGAGACCTCGCCCATAGATACCCTTGAAGGACAGAAGAATCGAGAAGAACCTACCAAACATTTCTCTAGCTTAGATTTCCTGTCTTCTTCTAAAGCAAACAGTAGACTGGCCCAGGTCATTCGTTTATGGAGATAACGTACTTATGACACACACACACACACACACAAAAATCAAGTAAGCTTGGGAGCAAAGCCATCTCAATGTTCTTGAGAAGAGACGTCAATTCACACCACATTTCAAAGGTAGCTTTTCTTCTGGTGTTACCTTTCTTGGGTCTCTCCCAATATGAAGAGCCTTTCAAACCAACTCTGAGAATCTTCCACAACACACTAATTTGGTGGTAGAGAAGGAAAGAGGAAGGGACAGTTGATAGAAACGACTATCATGAGGATTAGATATGGGAAGCCAATCTCAGAATCTACAAAGCCATAGATTATGTGAGAAGGAGAACCAAGAAAAACTCCATACTTTGAGCATCCCATGCGACACACCCACAAAACCAGAAGGTTACAAGAATTGAGTTGACATGGTGGGTCTCACTGTTAAAATCAATCGCTGCTCATCGCTTGAAGGCCAAGAAGCTGCCAACTATCATTTGAGGCCATTGCTGCATTTAACTCAGCATTGTCCACCCCAACCTTTTTTGAACTGACCATTGTGGCCAAACCTATGAGTTGATGGGTCCCACCAGGTTGGAGAAGGTGCTGTAAGCCACCATTTTCCAGGTGCTTCTGCAGCCATGTCTGGAAATGGGGAAGATGATCATCGATAATCTAGCATAGGAAGGCTATTAATTATCTTCCCACCCTATTTAGTGCAGAAATTTCTATAAAAGCACCCAAGCCAAGGATGGCCCAACCTCTCATGGAACCCATCTTAAGAAAGCACCTGGTTTCCTACTTAACTATGGTGTTATGGCAGAGAAGATCTACATCACCAACTAAGGACCGACATGAAGCTGTCCAACCTGTTGGCTTGGTTGCCCCTTTGACAACCCAACCCAACCCAACCCAACCCTTTGTTAGAGAAGAAGACAATGAAGACTACTCCACCTGATCAGCTCCAAAGGGGGTGATGTTGGCCTTGACGGAGCCCACGCTCAGCCCAACCAGCACCAAGCCGACATAGGAGGCGATGAGACAGTAGCGCGTGTCTCCTTGTGACGGGCACGGGGCAGAGGTGGTATTGCTCTGCAGAGGCGATGAGCAGTTCTCAATGGGCCACGGATGAAGCTCCCCGCAGAGCCACTGGCGGCTGGGAGCAATGGCCATGGCAGGGAAAGCCAGCATGCCCAAGAGGTAGACTGCCATGCTGACCAAGATGGTGGGGAATTTGCCCAACAGGGCGTCGGCCAGCCAACCCCCAAAAGGGGAGACCAGGTAGGTGATGCCCATGAAGAGCAGGAGGGCCTGGCTGGCTTGGGCGCCCTCCCAATTGTAAGGAGTTCCATTGAGGAAGAGGACCAGGTTTGAGGTGATGCCGTAGAAGGCCACCCTTTCCAGCAGCTCAGCTAGAAGCACAGCGGCACATGCCAAGCGCCGTCCGTGGAAGATGTTGGCCGCAGGGAAGGAGACGGGCGATCGGGCATTGGGCTCTAAGAGCGGGCTCCTCTCGTTGGGCTCAACCTCTTGCATTGCTGGTTGGCCAACTCCTTACTCAACTTCTCCTGTTGGGTGACCCAACTGAAAATATCTTCCCCTAACCCTAATCCTTACTTAAATCCCGCTAAAATGTCCCCTCCCTTAAGGACCCAGGAACCTTTGGGGTTCCCCTACCCTCACCCAATTGTGGCACCCTCCAACCCTTCCTCCCTACTCCAGGCAACTTCCAAGCTCCTCGGTTGCTCAGATCCCCTCTTAGAAACTAAAGAACGAAGCGGGGCTGACTTTCAAGAGCCGGACGAACCCACGTACCCCGAAACTTTTAAACTAACCCCCGCGTTTCCAAACCCAATCTCTTCCCCGAGTGGGATTCGAACCCGTAATCTCCAGGTTCCGGGGGCTCTTCCGAGCCGCGCCAGAGTCTCTCCCCCCCCTCCTCCTCCTCCCCACAACTCGCTAGAAAAGCCTGGCTCGGGCCGCCGTTCTCGGAGCCTTCTCCCCCTCCCGCCGCCGCCTCTGCCGGCCGCCGCTTCGCCTCTTTGCTTGGAATGCCCAGGTAGTTCTTAAAGCCCGCCTCTTTCGGCCCGGGCCGCGCTCGCCGATTGGCCGCCGCGAGCCGTCGCTCACGGCTTTCCCCTCCCGCCGTGAGTTGCGTCTTCCTGGTTTTCCTTTCGCTGCAAAAATAAACTCGAATTGCAAGCGCGCGTTTTTTTTGGGGGGGGGGGGGGGGGGGCAATTCGGAGCCGGTCCGGATCGGAGGCGGCTTTATTCCAAACCTGCGTGCCTTTCCCTTCTCGTTCTTTATTTCTTTGGACTCCCCCCACACCCCCAAGAGCATCATCAGAGAGAGTCGAACAACAGTGCACGCCCAAAGCGAGTCATGGGTTTTTGTCACGTGCAACCGTGTTGCAATGCTTAAGCATGCTTTGGAATGGGGTTGGGAGGGGTGCCTTTGCGTGCGTGTGCTTGGCTGTCTTTACACGAACGGGTGTTTATTTCTGTCCGGAGTGACCGGATCTGGGCACAGATGGCCGGATTTGGGGCAACTGTTGGCTAGTCCCCAAATTTCGCAAAGAAGTGAAACTCAAGGGGATTTTTCTCATTCGTTTCTTGCTATTGGCGCAGTTTGTTTCTTGCTATCTGGAATGGGGAAAAGCGGATGCGGTTTCAGGTTTTTTTCCCCCTAAGGATCCGGATTCCAGAAGGGTTCTAAGAATTTAATAATAATAAACGAATGCAAATCAATTTGCCTTATGAAAGCCAGAAAGCAATGCTCTCAAACCTTAAAAGGAAATGAATAAACGCGTACGCAGCACTTCATTGACAAGTTTGGGTAGATAAGGAGAAGTAAGAATGAAATAGAAAATGTAGAAAAACAGGAAGAAAAGTACAATGGCAGTAGAAAACAAATAGTATACAATACCAGTCAGTAAATAAGTCAGCATCTCCAGTAGAAAGAATTGCACAATCCAGAGTCTGATATTTTTTCCTGAAATCTGAATCATTATTGCAAGATTATTGGCCCAATTATGTTTTTCAATCTGATTTTTTTTCTGGAATCTGAATCATTGTTATTGTTGTTACGGCAAGATTATTGACCCGATTATGTTTTTCTCCGCATAGCTTTGAGGCACAAACAATCCAGCTTTCTCTATTGTGGAACATTTCCAATGATGTTGAACTGCCATGCCCATGTTGGCTGCTGTGGATGATAGACTTTTTACTTCACAGCCTCCAAGCGTTTTATCTCTTTGGATTTCTGCTAGAGAATTCAAAGCCTTCCTTCCTTGAGGCAAGAGGGTTTAGACTTGAGATATCAGATGATAAAACCGCTTCTTTATATTTCAAGAGATAAAGTCGAAAAAATCTTGCTTTAAAATCAGAAACTAGCTGCTATCTCTTCCTTCTAGGGGGGAGGGGAAAAAAACCCTCAAATACATATAGTGGTGAGACTGAAAGAAATCAGAGGTTTTTAAGGAAACTCACAGCCAACAGATTGGCTGTCCAGTTTCCGACATCTGCCATTCACAAGAGAGAAAATCCTGCTTACCTTTGACAGAAAGTTCATTGACAGCTGCAGCTGAAAAAGTATTGATCAGGCTACTGTATCAATAATTTAATTTCTGTTCCCACTGCTTAAGTCGGTTTGCAAGAGAATAATAAAACACAGGCATGCATGTGTCTATGTTTCTATGTTTCCTTTTGCTGCTAAGAGACCTGAAAGGGATTTGAGGAATTCAGAACTGTGGGGCTAGAGAATTCTGGGTGTTGAAGTCCACACATCTTAAAACTACAGAGGCTGAGAAACACTAATCTAGGCTATTTAAAAAAATTCATCTCTGCAACCATTTAACTCAATACAATATTTCTTCTTAATAAGAGACAATGAAGAACACACAGTAGAATATCATCTACCTAATGTAGGACACTGTGTTTTTTGGGGGGGGCGGGGAAGAGTTTCTTTAATTTGGTCTTAGATATTCTGCAGTCTATATTGTCTGTCTGTCTCCATCCATCCATCCATGTCTGTCTGTCTATCTCTCCATCCATCCATCAATTATTCATCCACCCATCCATCCATCCATGCCTGTCTGTCTGTCTGTTTCTTTCTATCTATCTATCTATCTATCTATCTATCTATCTATCTATCTATCTATCTATCTATCATGTCTATCATGTCTATCTTTCTTGTCCATCATGTATGTCTCTCTCATGTTTATCTATCATGTCTATGTCTTCATGTCTATCATGTCTGTCTTCATGTCTATCATGTCTGTCC